AATGTGGCTGCATTTGTACATTATAACACTTTTTATGGAGGCACAATTATGAAAATCACATAGATGTCAAATGAGTTTATTCCTTTATTCTTTTTGACTAACATTTTATTGTAACATTATAAATATAATAATATAAAAAAATTTAATTATCAAATACAGACTGAAAGGACAAATTCCAACAGTATGAGTCACTGAAGAGCATCAAAAACATGTATTTGTTTGCAAACAACAAACTACTTAAAGCTGCATTAACTAACTTCTCCCTCTAATTTTTGACCATTAAGGATGAATTGAGAATCAAAACAAACTCCAGTAGTCTCTTCTCCCTCTGCTCATCTTTGCCACTCCTGTCCTGCCTCTGAAACTAGGTCATGACACGACAGTCAGAGACAGTTGTGGCGCAGCAGTAATAACCAGCTCCAGAACTAATGTATATGGAAAATAGAGCCCATAGAACCTGTGGTTTTCAGTGGCATTGCAGCAACACAATGTCAAATATACAGTAGATCTTTACAATTTAGTGATATGCATTTATATGCCTAACGTATGTGAAACAAGAGAAATTTCATGTTACACTTTGATATTTGAACAACTTCCCACGGTTCTAGTTGTGCTGGTGGCATATACTACATACTGCAGTGTTTTGTCTGACAAACAAACCGTGTGGCCTGGACTAAAACCAAGGAAAAATGAGCAAACTGATCAAAATGATCTCTTTTGCACTGCTTTCCACTAACTAGACAACAAAACACTAATGTTGCAGTCAGTTGGAATGACTACAACCAGAATAATTCAATAAAAATCTACAAAACTGAAAAGTTTAAGTTAGCTCACTAATGATGCTGACATATACTGTATATGAAGCCAGCTACAATACTTACACATCTAGCAGGAAGAAAGCCACATCTGCATCAAAGTTTAGTCCTTTGGATGCTTTTAGTGCTCTCCATCTCTGACATGCCAAATTGATGTTAACCCTGGTTTTGCTTCATTCTTTGTGGCACTCTTTCTGTGCTACAAAATGTGGCCTCTTGGGTCTAACAGGCCTGCTCCCATCCTGGGTTGTACCTGCACAGGGCCATAATGGTTTGAAAAATGCATATTATAACGTTAGATCAGCAGGGGTGTGGAAGACATGTGCAGATTTTAGAAACACTGGCCAGAGAAAGGTAGCAAGCAAGCAAGCACAATTTATTTATATCGCACCTTTCTAAACCTACGTTACAAGGTGCTTTACAGTAAAACATAAAAAATACAAATAAAAAAATAAAACCAGATAAAACACATCTACACAATAAAATAATAACAGCAAAGATACATACAAAAACAAACGCATCAATCAGTGATGTTGTTAAAAGCCTGTGAATACAAGTGCATTTTAAGTTGTGATCTAAAAACAGGTTTGGAGCAGATCTAATATCCCGTGGCAGACCATTCCACAGTATAGGATCCCAAACCAAAAAAGCTCGGTCTCCCCAATGTTTCAATGTGGACTTAGGTACTTCCAAGAACAACTGGTTAGAAGACCTAAATGTCCTCTCTGGAGCATAAAATCGCACAAGCTCCGAGATATATGAAGGTGCTAGACCATGTACAGCCTTATAGACAAACATCAACAATTTAAAATCAATCCTAAAGTGAACAGGAAGCCAATGGACTGAGGCAAGAACTAGAGTTATATGCTCATGACGCTGTGTATTAGTCAAAAGACGAGCAGCTGCATTTTGGACCAACTGGAGCCGAGACAACGAAGCTTGAGAAATGCCAGTATACGGTGTGTTACAATAATCTAGTCTAGAGCCAATAAAGGCATGAATTGCCTTTTCAAAATCACTAAAAGAAAGAAAGTCTTTAACCTAAGCCAGTAGTCTCAACTGAAAAAAGCTGGCCCTGACCACAGATTTTATCTAGGGGGGCGACTGTGGTTCAGTGAGTAGAGCGGTCGTCTCCCAACTGGAGGGTCAGAGGTTTGAATCTCGGTGCCTGTAGTCCACATGTTGGAGTGCCCTTGGGCAAGACACTGAACCCCCAAGTTGCCCCCAAAGGTTAGAGCCATCGGTGTGAGTTGGTGCTGCAGAAGGCTGCTTTGGTTCTGTACTGGAAACAAATTCCTTGTGTGTGTGTAACATACTTGACCAAAACATTAACTAAAAACAAAGTAAAGGTAAGTGAACCTACTTGATCCCTAAAATAGGACACTTTTAACTTTTTTTTTTACTTTGTACTTTTTTAAAAATCCTCTGGCAATTTACTTACTATCGTTGTACCATTTAAGGATCTTCACTGCACTTAAACTGCTTAAATGTCAATAAAAACTGGACAATGGAGTGTTGTAAAACTTTTGACCAGTAGCCTAGTGTGTATATGAAAAACAGAATTTTTTACCTGAGGATGCAAGATATTATACTATAAAAAAAGATATATAACAATGTACATATGGATAAACAGATAGCTGTCCTGGGTACTGTTAGATTCAAATGAGTTCTCCAGATGGGACCGCTGATGATTAGACATAAGCCTGTGTTTTTTTGGTTCTTCAAAGCTGGTTTAAGATGGTTTATTAGCAGTTAGCTGGATCATGACCAAGACTTTTTAGGGTGAAACACATATCCCAGCTCATTTTCAGATATAAATAGCACACTGGCTTAGAGATAAAGTATAAAGATGAAATCTTGAGATAATTATGATTTTAGATGAGACAGGTTAATAAAAGAATCATTACATCTATTGATGTAATTGCCACAGTGTATTAACCTGTGCTCACACATGATAAAATATCAAACAAAAATCTGCACACTATAAAAGAACCAAGCCAGATTTTGAGATAGCTGTGAGCAAAAATGAGCAAAATATTCTGACAAAAAGACCAATGGAGCCAGAAGATATTCACTGGGTAAGGATTAACATACTTATTATAACCTGATATCAGCATATTAGTCCAAATTACATTTGAAGGACAGAGCTCTGAGGGAGCAAGATCCATTCAGATGTTTGATGGGTAAAAAGATCATTACTATGAGGAAGCCACATGTTATGTTGTGGGAATAAGAGTACTCAACATCTTTCCAACAAGAAAATAACAAATTTTCACAAAACCATCAACGCAACATCTCATTTTACAGTTGTTCACATATACAATTATGCAAATTGAGTGGAACACACTCTTGATGCAGAACATGTCCACCACAGTAGATATGATTATGGCTTGTCCAATTATTTTGCCTATGCCACATACATACAGCATACTGACCAAGCTGATGTAGAACTCAGATCACATTTAACATGGTCCTGGTCAGTGAACACATCACCTTAATAAAACGTCTTAAAAATCATTTCAATTTCAAATCAGGGTTTCTGAATATTCATCACTATGGTAGAAGCTTTATCAGTTCATTAAATCAAATTTTAAGGTCAGCAGAGGAAATCTAAACCTCAAGCATTTCTCTTCATCTGCTGATTTATTTATCTAGCCAATTATTTATTGTTCTCGAAACAAATCCATACACATTATATAACTCATTTTATAACTCATTACAAGTCATAGTCAGATACATTGTTTTTCCCTCTATGTGAACTTAGGAGTCTGGTGAGTTGCATACAGCTTTCAGATGACTGTTCTTCTTCAGACTTTATGGGGTGCTTCTGTGTATGGAATATAAGGGAGGGAAGCCCACCCAGTGATATCACACACTGTGATTTGATTCCAATCTTTTCTACCTGAGGTCACATGCCATCCTTTGTCCTGTTTCTCTGCAGCAGAGAAGAGGCATCTAGCTGTTAAATAGGGACGCCACATCTGGTAACCCTTAGAGAAGCAGCTTGCGGTCAGCCCAGCAAGATGGACGAGAAGTACTGAAAGGAATACTTTACCACTGATGTCTCTTCAAATGTGATGGGTGGGACTGCATTATTGTGATGCATGTCCTATTTTACTTACTTAGGCTTGTAATATGAGTTAATGTGCAGTTCAGAAACATACAGGTTTAACATAGATGTTTATTATAGGATGGGTACAGAAGCTGAAAAAAATAAAAAATAAAAAAAACAGTATGTGGGATTATCACCAAGAATACTGCCCATTTGAGAAATGGACAAAATGTCAACACTTGCTGGTATGGCTTTGGAGTGTGTGTAGCTGAACAATGAGCGGTGTGGCTCCGGAGACAATTTGTCACATCTGAGAAAATGATGCATCATTGGGACAGAAAGCCAGTAGCGTGGACATTTACCCAGCACAAAGAACCTACAGTAACTAATCACTTGGTTGCATTACGGGAAATGCATTTTGAATCTTGACTCATAAGAGGAAACGAAACTTACTGTTGCTTCAATTCTGTCTACTTTCCATCTAGAATCTGTCTTTAGAGCCTCTCATTATCTCTTTCCAAAACTAAATTGTTCAAGTACCCTTTAAGGTGGTTAATAGATGAGATAATAACATGGGCTGAAGTACATTAGCTGACCTTGTCATGAGCCAAAAAGAAATAAAATGAAAATAACCATAAAGGCAAATTGTGTAACCACTTTGCCAAAAACAGGAGGAACATACAGTAAGCAGAGTCTGCAGTAGTGGACTGTGTGGGCTGAAAATACACTTTTACACCATCAGACTAGTGAGGCACTGGAAACAACTAAACCTGATCAATGCCATCTCATTATGAACACAATTCCTAGCATTTACCTGACACTAAGGCTAAAGGACCCGTCCAGGATGTTCCCCACTTCTCGTAGTGTCTCCAAAAGATCATAGTAAGACTATGACCTTTTGGAGTCCTAGTCTACCACAAATTCATTTTGGACGGTAATAACATAGCTAACATTTGCTTTTGTCTGACAAACTGTCAGAAAAAACAGGGCATTCAAATGTTTGGCATGTTTTACTTTATAAATTCAACGGTTATAAAAAGTAATTTCTTACATTCCTGTTTATCTACTAGTGTTTTCAGCAAAAGCTGCCTAGTTTACTGAAATAAGCTTTAGAGAATCACGACACAAAGGCATGCAAAAGTAACAACGTTTAATTCAAATAAAACCATGCAACAGGTCACCATCACCCTGATTAGATACAATCCCTGTTATAAAATAAACATCCAAAGCCATACATTGCATTCAGTGGGCATTCACTGTATGAGAAGAGACGACTCCATGGAGTACACACGTCAGCCCAGAGAGTCAAGAAACCAAAACAAGAACCCAAAAACAGCAAACAAAAAGAATCACAGCTCCTCCTGCTCCACACAGGTAACAGTACAGTGGTGCTCCTGAAAAGGAGAAAGCACAATGACCTCTAGCCCCCCCGGCTGCTAATAATCAATCACCTACACAAAACGCTATGAACCATATGGCACACAGAAGACAAGTCTGAGAACATGAGTGATGGGCCAGCAGTGCCCTGTTGTCACATCCAGCTCTGAATATCTGGTAGCAGTGTTATTCCCATGTACCCGATGTACACTCATTGAAGGCCTGTCAAATTCACATCATTGGGATTAACGTGGCCTGGGAGACCAAGACGTTTTCTTAGCGAGGAAACTGTTTCATCAGCACACTGGAGGATGTTGGTTTGTTTAGTGAAAATCATGTCAAAATTATCCAAACATTTCATATCAATATTTGTTTGGCTGAGTAGCAAGGTGATTCAAATCCCCCACCAATACCCATGTAACAGGAGCTAACTGTCACCACTTGATGTGAAGAGTCCAGCACACACACACACACACACACACACACACACACACACACACATAATTGGTACACTCAATCAGGTCATTTGTTATTTTACAGTGTGGATGTAGAACACAAGGATAATACAAAACAACATTAATAAGATGTACAGTATTTTTGTTTCGGAACATCTGGTCTGCATGGTGAATGTGAACAGAAGACTGGGAGCTGTGTTGGGAAGTCAGGTTCACCTGTGCATCCCTCGCTGTCATATGGGAGGCTCCTGAGGGAGGAAGTGGGTGTCAAGAGTCTTGGATAACATGAAGGTTGTGTAGTTTGGAAGTGGCAGAGTCAGTGTTAAGTGTTTATGATGCTATGTACGTGTGTGTGTGCTTGTGTGTATGCCTGTGTGTGTGTGTGTGTGTGTGTGTGTGTGTGTGTGTGTGTGTGTGTGTGTGTGTGTGTGTGTGTGAGACAGGGAGGGATAGCACCAGGAGCCTCAGTTGCAATAAACCTGGCCTTCAGGCGGCTGGGAGAGCCTGTTGTTCTCTTTCAACATCATGTGCTGTCTGAGTTCCTGCAGCACCATCCGGATGTTGTAGGAGTTCTTCCACCTGGCCAGCGCTACCACCGCCTTTATGTCTACCTGAAGGGAGAAGAGGAAGAGAGGGGGACAAAAGGGGGAGGTCTCTTCATTATGGCCCCAAAAACAAACCTACTGTACAGCCTGATGTCAAGATTACATATGTAGAACACAGCTGCATACAAAATCTGTGTCAGCACACCTAAATGATTTTAAGAGCTTTGTAACTCAAAATATATACTGCTTCGAGTCTACATTGTTTCAAATATGAACATTTATAGCACTACTCTCACTACAGTCAGTCAGTAAATTCAGTCACAAAAAAATGCTTCCATTAGTTGAAACAGGGTCAAGCCCACCCCTTCTCTTCGTTCCTCACAGCAGCTGGGTTAAAAGGTCTTAGGAGGAAATGTTTCACTCTGAATGTTTAGAACCACGCAGCAGGAGTCACAGAGGTTAGATAAAATCCTCTGTGAATACAGTCCCTGCACCTTCAGATTCCCAGCACTAGCAGCTATTCCTTTATCTCTTTAACTCATTGGCTAGTACTGAGACCACTGCAGACAACTGCAGGGCTTATGGCATGCCTGCATTACAGCACCGCCACCACTGTATAACTGAACTACTTTGATTTGTTAGGCCCCTAATTCAGTGGATTAGTCTGTGACAAATATTACCATCTGGCTACTATTTAAATTTACAAGATGCAGAAAGCGTTCGCCGCACCATGCTATATGGCAGAGGAATTACTGATGCCAGATGCACAGTAAGGTGTGTGAAACACTGAAGCTGGAGTTTACTCGTGCAACTCTGTGCTAACATGCAACCTACTGAGTCTAACTGTAACTGAAATGACAGAGCAAAGCTGCTACATCAGTGTCTCCAGCATGAGCAGGAAGGTAGTGAGCCAATCACAAAAGCTGCCGCTGAGCCCGAAATAGAAGTCTGGTGTTACATTCAACTGACAGCAGCTTTTGCAAGGTTATATGTATATTGAAAATGTCTTTATCAGTCCACAGCAAACCAGTGAACACCTCAGTGATAAGGCCTGGACTGTCAGTCACACTGACAAGAGGGGGAGTAAGATGAACACTGGATACTCACCACACCATTTGAATTGTGTATGCCGGTCAGGTTGATCTTGTTCACAAAGCGAACAAGAGGGGGGTGCTCTGGGTACCTGGGCCCACACTCTATTTTCAGACTGTATATCCTGCCTTCATAGACAGTCTGCAAGTGAGGAAAGGAATGCCAGGTCAACTCAGTGTGCAACTTTGATAATACTGAACAACTTTTGTTGATGGAACTGGACTTCATTCATTCTTGACCCTGGAATTTCTAAGTGTACACAACACCAGTAACCCCAGTACTAAAACTGTCTGTGAGACATATATTAGACAAAGTCATGTCACTGTCATTATGAGCTTCACTCTTTGTAATGATGCAATTTTACAACAGACCTGAAAGTGCTATTGGTATATGAATATTCCTACATTTAGTTAAGAATTAATATAGAACAGTATCACCTTATACCTCACACACATTTACAGATTTAAGGGAAAAGACTGTGCTGATATCAGACTGGTACTCTGTATAGGCAGATACTCTGTGGCTGGATCTTTGAATCAGCAGTGGTGGAATGTAACTAAGTATATTTACTCAAGTATTTTACTTGAGTATTTCTATTTTGACATTTTATATTTCTACTTCACCACACTTCAGAGGGAAATACTGCACTTCTACTCAGCTACATTTGTCTGACAGCTGTAGTTACTGAACAGTACAAAACATATGAAGAGTGCCTAAAATATGTCTTGTTATGAATTAAATGACTCATTATATACAAATACAGATGAAAGGAATAGTCAATTGAAAGAAAATCTGCATCTATTTCATTAAGTTTTAATTCATTATGTAAAAACGCCAATCAGTTCATGGATCCAGTTTCTGAAATACGAAGATCTGCTGACCTGCCATTTAAGAATTCTAATAACTGAGGACAAAGCAAGCGTGCTGTTTTGTAATGCAATGCTGTTGCAGGTGACACTGTTACCTGCAACATTAGTGAACACTAAGGCTGATTTTGACTTCAGCTCTTTTGAAGGTGCCCACACAGAAAAAGCTGTGTGCTGAAAACAAGATGCTGCTCCATATGGCCCTCCCACCCTAACTTACTGCCCTGTCTATCAACATTTTACATGCCGTCACGTTTGTTCCTATACATGGTAACAAAGGTGTCAAAGTCAGCCTTGCAAAAATACAGCCTAACTGGTGCATGCACACACTTCTCTTTATTTCTAAGCCACAAGGAAGGCCTACATCATCATAACTCTCTAGAGGGTAGGCTGAACCATGCCAGTGCCACCAAAGGGTGCACAGCCACTCAGTGTTGGTTCTCAGGACACATGCATGTTCGAGCTCACAGCTTCTATCAAACTACAGAGGAATCTACTGATACACATGCAGTTTCTCAGAGGTCATTCACTACATCAGTGCAGAACCATCCAGTTGACTGCTACTGGTGTATGACATTAGCATGCTCATCTTTTATGCAAAAATAGTATTTTTCATATGTGCAGGGTGAAGCTTTTCATGGATAAACTAAGAAAATAAGCAAAGCAACACATACTATTCTCTTGAAATCCAGTAATTTGGAGTGCATGAATAATTTATTAAAATATACAGGAGTTTTGTGTTTGCTTTGAGGTGAGTGCATTTTGGCCGTCAAATGTAATATTCACAGCACAGTTTAGATGCCTATGCTGAGAGAATCACAAAGAAAGGTGTTGTTTACCTTGATGACTTGTGGGAGGTTCACCAAATGTGCAAAAAGAACCTAATACCTGCTTCTCCTCACTGACCTACCTTTGTGTGGATGCAAAAATCCACGTTGGTATTTCCAGTCAGTGAATTTGAACAGCTGCTGCCTAAGTCAGTTAGCTTCAAATCATATCTGCTACACTCTGTCAGAGAGCTTATTTATAAGTTAGCCTACCAGATAGTTAGAGTTCATCTGCAACAAGCAGGGTTTCCACATTAGACACTCTACTGTTGTCTGATCATTAGCAGACAAAGACTCAGCGGTACACCTGCATTGTCTGGCAGGCAGTCCACCTAAAGGGGTTTCCATGCCCTTGTTTCCAAGTGCAGCATACCCACAGTCATATAAAACACACACCTGCATTTTTTGTTGCATTCTTCTCCTATGAGACAAGCACATGTCCATGTACTGCTTTTAATTGGAGAGAGAATGCATTAGAGACAATACCAACACTGCAACAGTTAGTGACTAGGGCACACCCAATGTTTTCTAGTTTTCAACTTTGAATAGGGCTGTGACAAGATCTCATGGCATGAGATCTTGCGATATTAAAATGTGATGATATTTCTTGTTGTGGCAAAAGCTGTCTCGAAATATCAGTATAAAAACAGAACCAGAGCAGAAACCAGTACGACAGAGTTTGAAACGTTGACATTAGTTCGGCAAAAATGCAACTCCTTGTTGCATTTTTCACACACGGGGCTGCGTTGGTCAGGTGGTGAGGGGTTGCAGGGGGAGTATAGGTGTGTACAATATAGCCACATTGGGACTAGCGGCTTTAATTCACGTTTCCAGCCTATGAGTTTCCATTGCGTTTTGGTTAGCCATGTTGCTAACGTAGCCTACTCTACCTTAGCAGTAATCCTACTGCCAGTGTGTCGACACTGATAAAAAAAACAAACACTGTTTAGCATCAGATACTAATGAAAACACATGATGGGCCATTATGGTGCATTAACTGTGGCCCAAATTCGACAGTGAACGGTAGTGAATGCTCATGTTAACAAGGTAAACAACAGAGTCTTCTTCCTGTGGGCATGCACGTCCCGATTGTCTCCCGTATATGACTGGTCAATGCAGCACCGTCTGGTGCAGTGCAGAGAGGGTAAAAATAACATACAGCTGAAGTCATTTTCATACACCACAAATACATTTGAACTCAGTTTTCCACAACTTCTGACATTTAATCCTATAAACATTCTCTGTCTTAGGTCAGTTAGGATCACTACTTTATTTTAAGAATGTGAAATGCCAGAATAATAGTAGAGAAAAAGATTGATTTCAGCTTTTATTTCTTTCATCACATTCCCAGTGGGTCACAAGTTTACATACACTCGGTTAGTATATGCCAACCCTATGCTTCATGGTTGGGATGACAGTCACTACAAGATGATTACTTAGAACATTTCAAAATGCATCCGTATTCTTTTGCATTTTGTGACTTTCAGTCAAATAAGACAATTTTTTCCAATCTTATATTTTGTCAATGAAGATTTTTTAAAAATAGTGTTAAAATATCATCTTGTTCTCATGAACCCAATATTGGGTACAGTCCCATCTTGTGAGTTAAGTGTAGTGTCACACGCCTAACTTTGAACATGCGCGACCTGCTAGAAGGGAGAAGCAGCATGGTGTATTAAAGAGCTGCAGGCCCTGGGGGAGGCTCACCTTAGGTGGACCGATGATCATGCCATTCCAGTGAGTTAGTGTCATGTCATCATCATCTGCGAGACCCCAGCTCACTGTACCATCACCACCTCCCTTCTGACCTTCCTCTAGCTCCTCCAGCAACCGAAAGCTGCGAGGAACTACGACTTCACACAGGCACACAGACACACACACAAAAAGGATAATGAAATGACTTCTGTCTGATCACACACTGGGAGACAATTCACACTATAATTCAGTAACTTGCCTGAATAGAAGCTGCTGACCAAAAGCTAGACTAAACTGAAGTAACGTGGTAGTAAGAGAACATCTCTATCACTTGTAATTTTATAAAACTATAAAAGAATATTGATTTATTTTTATATTTTCAAATTAACTGCGAGTGATTCCTACTATAATAATCTGTCAACCTTCTGACCACATTGAGATGACACAGTTAGGTATGATTATAAGCATGTTGTTGTTTTTTTACATTATTGTCTGGGTGTGGTGTCTGCCTTTATTCTTGAAAACCAAAAATAACTGTTGACTGAAGGCAAACAAGTGAAAACAATTAACACAAATACAACTGTGAGGCAAGATATTTTAAATGCTGCACAATCACTGCAAATCTAAATGCAAGGTCACTGCTCCACAACACATAAAACCAACCATCTGAATCTCTGATGCTGAAGCATCTCCGAGACATTATCAAGGGAACTAAGGGGCACTGACTGGCACCTACACACACCACGAGGTGAGTGCAGATAGCTGTTACCTTGATGGTCAAACACACATGCTGTGCCTTCCTGAATAAGCATGAACTGACAACGTTTGACTTCAGGTTGAACATTTGGGATATTATATTATATATAATATTTGTTAAGGATATCCAGAGATCTTGTGCATGGACCCTTGACTCTTGTTTACTTCAGATGCTGTAAAAGGTTACGGCCGTTAGAAGCCTTTAGAACAACATTTTTACCAAATATCAGGGTCTGGTGTTTCTTAATGAGGAAACGTGTCACCCTGTGCAGCGGTGTTTCCATGATTTATTTTGAACAGCAATGGAGGTTTACGACACAAACGAATAAACTAAATTAATCCAGCACTGACAGACATTTATCGGGAGCGGAGACAAATCAATCGTTGGTTTTAGTTTATGTATAGGACAGGACTACAATGATTGGCTTTGTCCTATAAAAAAGCAGTAATACAGCGTTTTCATAGCATCTTAGTAAAATGGTGTTTTCACTGTATTACAAGGTCCCATTGGGTAAAATACTTTGTGTTCAGTTGATGGATGAGCCACTTTAAGCACTTCTTCCGGGACGCCGTGACACTCCAGTTGCTGATCAGGGTTGTGTAGCTAGCCGGCTAACGCAAATAAGCAAACAACTCATGTATCAACGTAGTCACGGACGTCACCGCCTCGCACACACAATAGCCCACCGACATAGCAGACAATTGTGAACTTTAACGTGGGTTCTAATGTAGTCTTTCCTCTGACCGGTGAATTTCATAAGGTTGAATCAAGGTTGCTGAATATCGTCGACTGTTGCTGAAAGACTGTGAGCTAGCTTAGCTAGCTATTGAGCAAGCTAGCAGCGTGTTCTTTCAATGTTACATTCAAAACAACTGCAACTGGACTCTTGGAAATTGTAAGCTGATTATGCAGTCAATATGATATGGTGAAAATTGTTCCTCTTCAGCAATTTCAGCGAAAATATACTATCTGCAGTGTCAGTGAAATCGGCTTACCTGCTCCGGCGGCGACCGCCATCTTTATCACTATTTTACGGAAGTGTTTTTTTTTGTGCTTTATTTAACAACGTAAAAAGAACATTACAACGCCCGGTGGTGACAATAAACATAGACCATTACGTTCGCTACTCCCAGGGGCGGACGCACGCCTGAAAATACATACATCTGAAAATTCTTAGGGGTAAACGCATATTAGGAAACTAAAATTAATACCAAGTTTTCATGGGTAAAATGTGTGAGAAAAAAATGAACAGTACAATCATAAAATAAAATTTAATTCATATTAAAATAAATATTGTAGACACAACAGAGCTTTTCCGTTGTGTGATGAACACTCATTAGCAAAAGGATATAAAGAAAGGTTTCACTTTTTCAAATTTGTGTAGGCCTACAAAAGTAGCCTATTTTCCCCAAAAGATTACCTAGTTAGATTAGGAGGTCTCCAGACTTCTGTGACACTTTTGCTGTTTAACAGTTATTTGAATGTCATTTTTTATTCTAAAAATGATAAATGCTGCTCACATTTGACTCTAGAATCAACAAAAGTACCACCCATTTTAAATTTGTAAAGGCTGTCAAGTGTGTTTCTGAAGCTCATTTAATATTGCTAATCATTTAACGAGGCCTTTTTGAATTGTAATAAGATTTTTGTTAAAGGTTAGCCTTAATGTTGTATTTCCAAACAGTTATCAATAGTGATATTTCACAGCAGGTGAATAGCTCGGTGGTTAACACCACTGACTGTGGTACCGCAGGTCAGGGTTCAGGGTGCAGCCAGCTGTGGGTCCTTCGACAAGGCGCTTAATGCTATCTGCTTAGTGAGGTAAATCATGAAAGTGTAAGAGTAGATTCTTATAGGTTCTAGTTACTTTAGAAGCTTTACTTACTTTTCATAAGTTTAGTTTCCTTTAGTTACTTTTCAAATCTTCATTGTCTTTTAATTACCTTTCATAACTTTATTTTCCTTGCTTATATATATTACAGTTGTATTGATGATTGTCCAGAACTACTGAGCTTTGGTTACTGTTAGATATTAGTAAATCAGTCAGATAATTATTAGAAATTAATGTGTTAGACTTTAATGTGTTAGTAATGAAGTTTAGTAAGATTCAAAGTCTGCTCTAGTCTGCTTTGCTTCAAGGTTAGAAGACAATGTTGATTCTGAAAAGTGTACCTTGAGACCAATTGTTTTCTTGTATTCACCTTGTGTTAGAATTATGTTTGAATGAATGTTTTAGTTACACACCACATAACACACACACACACATGGAATTCTTCATTTTGTTATGGCCAGCGGCTCCATGCAGCTGGAGCTCTAGATAAGAGAAGGAGACGCAGGACTGTCTCCATCTCATGATGCTTTGTAATGTTTCTGTGTAAGGGGTTAGCCCAAAAACTTATAAATGTCTTAGGCTCTGTGTTTCCAGGAGCTCCTCTTCTCCAGCAGCTTGTCTGAAGGAGGGAGCCACCAGGGTTGTCTCTTGTAATTTTATTTGTGGTTTTAAAATAAATCAGCACTAAAATGAAGAAAGATGGACTCCTTCGTTATTCAGATCTGTCTAATAAAAGAACTGGGGTATAACACACCTCACTTTGAAAGATGCTCCCCTATTTTAGGTCAAGGGTTTATTGTCATATGCACAGTGAGGAAATGTGTTGAGCACTGTTACCCAATCATAGTACAAACACCCCCTTTTTCAGCCAGAATGAAGTCTAATGCCAATCCGTTCTGATACGACATAAGAGAAGTGGCTGCCAGTTACTCCTGAAACCCAACAACTAAATCTCTGGTAAGATTAGTGAGATTAGTAAGATTAGTAAGACACTGAACATTAAAATGGACGTAGAACAGTATACAAATGTATTTATCAAACTGTCTTAATTGCTCTTGCTGTGGCCACCCAGACCAGTCAAGAATGTCACATGCATCTACCATTAAAGTGGAAGTTTCACCCAAATTAAAAACAAACTCAGGTGGAATCAGGACATTAGCTCTTTTCTCATGGTGTACTGTATGTGGGACCTTGTTTCCCACCACAATATGGGTGCCACTATAACTAGGCTAACGAGGCCCAGAACACAGAGAACCATACCAGGACAACTGCCTAAACTTGCCAGACTAGACATTTTGCTGTCCCTGTCAACGTTTTTGTTCTCTGATAAATATTATACTAGTGTAGATCCTCTTCTAACTGTGGCTCTGGTTCTACAGGGTTGTATATCGACTCAGGTAATGAGGTTCTTAAATCAGCCCTGACCTCATTCACTGCTCATCCACTTGGATCTTCTTCTGGAGAGCAATGTGTCTCATGGATCCAGTTACTTAGCTTGTTCTCAGTGAGCCACAGTTTAACACAATGTGTGGTAGTTTCTGCTACCCTCTAGGGTCCTTTCCAACGTGGTTCTGACCAGTGAAGTTTATGCACCTTTCGATAGACCCAGCTATCCACTGCAACTGGTGTCGGTTCCTCAGGTTGGTCCCTGCACAAGATTTCAATAACCTGTTCAGAAACACTCATCACAGCATTGTTCAGTCGTCTGACATACTAATGTCAGCATGCTGCAAAGGAAGAGGTGTTGAATCTCTATGCATAACAGTTAGAGGACAGGGCATCTTTCTCCCTGTCAGGATTTCATGTGGGCTTACATTAAGAGGGGCATTCGGAGTGGACCTGAGGTTGAACAATACAATAGGTAGAGCTTCAACCCAGGTTAAGTTAGTGTCTGTGCAGACTTTCGCTAGCCCTTCTTTTATATTTCTGTTTGCACGCTCAACAAGTCCTTGAGAGGCTGCATGATAGACAACCCCAAACTTATGTTTTATCCCAAACATCTGCTCAACCAGACATAGATCATTGTTTGAGAAGTGTGTTCCATTATCAGATGTCAGGTACCCCAAACCGGGGGATCACTTCCCTAGTGAGCCACTTAATTACCTCTTTACCTGTCTCTGTTTTCGTGGGTACAGCCTCTACCCATTTGGAAAACAGCTCCACGCAGACAAGTAAATGTCGTTTTCCTTCAACGCTTTTATCAGCTCCCATATCTGTAAAATCGATAAGAATCTCTTTCCAGGGAGCATCTTGAACTGGAAATTTCCCTAGCCCCGTCTTGAGCGCGGCTCTGGGGTTGAACTGATTACATGTCTCACATGTTGCAACAAAGTACTTGGTGATATCCCTCAAATGCAGATGCCACCAATTTTGAGAGATCAGACTATTTATCTAGGAGCTCGCACAGTGTCCTCTACTGTGTGCCTCTTGACACAGCAAACTAAGTAGTCCTGCCGGGGCCACTATTTTACCTTTGTGGTTTCTCCACAGTCCTGTCTGATCCTTAGACGCCCCTACGCCTGCTTTTCAGTAGGAGCAGCTTTATTCTGTATTTCCCTATTAGTCTGCAAGCTCAACTATGTCTCACAAACGTGACCCCCTTCTGCAGGGTCTTGACTCATCTGTTTAGCTCCCTGAGCTGGACCTTCTGGGTCCTGAGTGCCTATCCTAGGCTCCTTAAACTCTGACCCTTTAGGTCTGGATCCTGTCTGTACTGAGCTTCCAACACTCTGACCCCTTAGGTCTTGGATCCCTTTCATAACTGAGCTCCCACAGCTCTGACCCCATAGGTCTTGGATCCCTTTCATAACTGAGCTCCCAAAGCTCTGACCCCGTAGGTCTTGGATTCCTTTTATAGCTCCCTGAGCTACCTAATAACCAGCTGCTACCTTGGCAGCCAGATCTGCAGCATTATTACCTCTGTTTATCTGAGTCTCTGTTCTCTGATGTCCCTTGCACTTAATAATTGCCACCTGCTTTGGTAGCAACAACGCTTGATCTAGTTCTAGTAACTGCTGCAAGTGTTTTACCGGATAGCCAGTTGAGGTCACAAAACCTTTTCTTCTTCAGTGGCACAAGTCTACATGTACTGCTTGTACCGCATACACAGAATCTGTGTAGATATCTACAACTTTGTCTTTTGACAACCGACATGCCTCTATAAGAGCAATCAGCTCAGCCATCTGGGCTGAACTTGGCTGTGGGATCACATCAGCTTGCAGTATTCTTAAGCCAGCCGCTGTGTCTTTGACCACAATGTAAAAAACAACTAGACAGCCAGTGGCAATCTGATGACTGTGACCATCACAGTACAATGTTACCTCTGCATTAGGTAGAGGTTCCTTATACAAGATCTCATGCAGTCTCATCTCTTCGTCTGTTTTGCTCACGCAATTACTGTTAGAAACGCTCAACACACAAATGAGCGAGCGGAGAAAACAACAGACCCAGGCGGCTGGCTTCAGTGCAAGTAGTGGAATTTATTTACAGTGCCAATCAGTGCGATAATATTTACAAGAATGGTAGAGTGGAGAAAAGACCGGGTGTCGATCAGCGGTGGCAGGAGTGGCAGTCAATGGAGTGATGATGGGCCGGGCTGCGGTTATAGGAGTCACTCCTGGACTGGTTGGGTAGGAGATGAGGATGGCTGAGGAGGGAATATCAGAGAGACAGATTACTGATTACTCTACTTTCCTCCCCCTTTTGAAATAGGATGGCATTCACAGTGCCGTCCTTTTCATCAACATCCAAATGAAAAGGCTGTGAATAGTCAGATGCATGCAAAGCATATGCGTGTGCCAAAGCCTGTTTAATGGCAACAAAAGCCTCCTCTGCTTGTGGAGTCCACAACAAAGTAGAACCATAGTTCTTGTAGCCCGCCTCTGTAAGCATGGCACAGAGAGGTGCCACAAAGCCAGTGAAATTGGGCACAAAATTCTTGCTGTAATTAATAAGTCCTAAGAATTGCATCATGGTCTTAACGGTGGAGGTCTTAGAATGTGAGATAATATCAGTTTTTTGTGACTCAGTCATATGCCTGGGGAGGTGGGTAGACTTGATACTGATATCGTGGCGCACCCTGCAACTGCTGATATGAAAAGGGACATTGTCGTGACCAGTGTCCTCTTTTGTTACAAATCCAGCACCTGTCATCTCTTGGCAGACCTCTTCTGAGAGTCCAAGGTCCTTGACCTCTTCCTCATGGCCTGCCACGGTACTGAGGTCCACAGTACATGTGAGCAGAATCCCACTGCTCCCAGGGTTGC